CTGGGGGGTCTTCGCCGTGCCGGCCTGGGGCTCCGAGGGGTTCTGGTGGCACTGGCGGGGCGAGCGGCGCGCCGACTACGAGCGCTTCGTGCGCAGCCGCTACCCGCCCGCCACCACCTACGCGGACTTCGCGCCCCGCTTCACCGCCCACGACTTCCAGCCCCGTGAGTGGGCCCGGCTCTTCCAGCGGGCAGGAGCCAGGTCTGCGCCGGGGCGCCCGCCTTTGGGGGAAGCATCCATGAGGGAAGGGGAGATCCCTGAGGGAATGGTGGCCCCCTGAGGTGATGTGGGTGTCCCTGAGGGGATGGAGGGATCCCTTAAGGTATGGGGAGTACCTGAGGGGCTGTCTGGTGTCCCTGAGGAGACAGAGGTGTCTCTGAAGGCTTGGTGGCTCCCTGAGGAGATGTGGGTGTCCCCGAGCCCCACCAAGCGTCCCTGAGTGGATGGTGGGACCATGCCGGGGTCCCTCGGGAGTCCTGAGCAATGGCAGGTCTCGTGCCTCCTGAGTCCCAGTTGTCCATTCTTCATCAGCATCACAGATCATTTAGGAGCTTTACTCTTTTGGAATTTTCTTCTAAATTCGAAGGGTAATGAAAAGAGTCCCTAAGGAGGGTTCCACGCAGCACAGTGACTCAGTCCCATCTTTCTGTTACCTGAGTGAGAAATACCTAAGCGAGTTCCTTTGCCCTCCGTATCCCCCGTTCCTGCAGGTATGTGGTACTCACAGCGAAGCATCATGAAGGATTCACAAACTGGGGGTCACCTGTGTCCTGGAGCTGGAACTCTGTGGATACGGGGCCCCATCGAGATCTTGTAGGAGAGCTGGGACAAGCTCTCAGGGAGAGGTACGTCACTGCCAGCCTTTGTGGTTCCTTTCATCTTTTCGCATTAAATTCTTAAGGCTGTTCTTGACAAACAGCTGCAAATGCTGAGTTTTGGATGCTTTGCTTACAAATCTGTGAAATAATGATGCTAGTAATTTAATTCTTAAGCCTTGCTGACAGCTTAACTATTTTCTCTCCCTTGTCAATGTTTTAGCAACATAAGCTATGGACTGTATCATTCCCTGTTAGAGTGGTTTAACCCACTCTATCTAGCTGACAAAAAAAGTGGCTTCAAGACCCAGAGCTTCGTTTTGCAAAAGACAATGCCAGAACTTTATGATCTTGTCTTAAGGTAAGAGCTGCAACTGGTTAGGACTTAAGAATATTTATAGTGTAGAGAAAGGTCCAAACTGTCTGCAGAGAAGAGGGATGACAAATGTTACCTTTTGCAAGGTGACTGTTTTTCTTATTGGTAGTCATTTGAATTAATTAGAAAAATGGGT